CCCGTGTCCCCTGCATCGGCAGGCGGACTCTCAACCACTGTGCCACCAGGGAAGCCCGAGAATATATATATTTTCAAAGTTCAATATTAGCTGGAAAATTCAGAAATCACCATCCAAAAAATAAAACCACTGTTAGTTCTTCCATATTTCAAAGTGATATGAAATTCACCCACAAGGGAGGTGGTTAGGCAAAAATACAGTAAACAGAAGTGTGATTTTAATGAGCCCACAACCTTTCTTACACCATGTTGCTTCATTTGTTGCGTGTGTGTTGATGGAAAGGCATGAGCAGCACTAGTCCATTATTCCGGGATTTAAGGTAAGAAAAGTTAGTTTCAGGAAAATGCACACTCCAGGAGCACAGAAAGTGGAAGAAACACCTGATCGATGAGACAAGTACCAGCAGAGGGTGCTGGTGTGGCACAAAATTAAGATTTTTTAAAAAAAGGAGGTCTGGGCTAGAAGACAGCAGGTGTGAGGGAAATGTACTAACTGTTTGGGTCCGTTTGGAGGTATGAATTTCCCCGCTGCACGCAGATCTGTCTGGGTTTCAGTGATTTCTTGTGATGGCCACATGGATTTTAGGCATCTCCTAAAGCACAAACGCCTGACACTTGCTCCTCTGTCTGAGCGAGACTGGGAGAGGCTGTGCAGTTTGGCTCCTGTCTGCACTGGAGGCTTTCTATCAGCCCCTGGCTGCTCGTCTGTGGCACCTCCATGCTGGGTTCATGTGCAGTCTCTACTTTCTTATTTGCCCAGCTTTTACAAAACTATATTTGTGCGCTCTAGAAAATTTGCCAAACTGTTAATCCAAGAGGGTCCCATTTTCTTTTCTCGCGTGGCCACCTTGAAGACAGGGTGCCCAGTTCCTGGGAGCCTATACACAGCAGAGGTTGTGAAAGGTCGGGGAGGGGGGAACGAGGTGGGCTGCGTTTCCTCAGCAGAGCCTGACCTCCTCGGCTGTCAAACTACGAAGAGCTCTCGATAGTAAACGCGAGTAGGGCCTTCTCGAACCTGCTCTTCTGAACTGCTCTTTCAGAAAACTGACAGCGTTCTGGACTGGCAGTCAAGTGACCCACTGGGGTCCAGTCCAGCCTGTCTGGGCCTCAGTTTCCTCCTCGGTTCAGCGACAGGGTTAGACACTCTGATCCCGAGGCCTCTTTCAGCTCTCGCGCGCCACAGTCAGACACCTCTGAGCGGCGCGGCCGGTTCCGCCCTCCGGGAAGGGCAAGCGAGAGGGGAAGCTCTCGGTCAGCACCAAGGACAAGGGCCCCGGGGCGCTCTGTGCAGACGCAAGGTCACTTCTTAGCCAGTCCCGCTCCTCTGCGGGTGTCTGGGCGCCAGGGTTTGGAGGCGGCGCGGGGAGGGCCGTGTGTGCTGGGGAAGTGGTGAAAGCTGGGGGAGCAGCCCCGGGGAATGAAGTAAGGCCGGGCCCCCTGCGGTCTCGCAGATTCTGCGCCAAGAGGCCGAGGGCGGTTCCTGCCAGTCGGGCGCGGCGCCCCCGCCCCCGCCCGCCCCTGCCCGGCCCTTGGCGGGCGCAGCGCTGCTCCGCACCTGGAGGCCCCGTAAAGTCCTCCCCGCGCCTGCGTTGACCTCCTCCACCCCCTATCCTTCCCGAGCCTCGCCTTAGCTCCCCGCCGGGGCCGCGCCGCCACCATTGACCTCTCGAGGTTCTTTTGGACACACCCACGACTCTGACCGCATCCCTCAGGGCTGGGGGCCCCGGATGGCCTTTCTGCTCCCCGTGACTCAATTCCCTGTGGGGGAAGGGTCCCCACGACCCTCTCCTCCCACGCAGCCCGGAGCCCCGCCCCCACTTGCCCCGCCCACAAGCCCCGCCCGCTGTTGCCCCGGGAACCGCGGATCCCGCAGCTGCAGGAAGCGCCCGGCGCCGCGGAGGAGTTCTCGACGCCAGCACCGCCGCTCCCGCCGCCAGGGTCGCCGCCGCGCCTCAGCTTCGGCTCCCGCTCCCGCGCCCGCTCCGTCGGCCATGCTGCCCCGCCGCGCCCCGGCGCCCGGTGCGCAGCTGCTGCCCGCGCCCGCCCTGCTGCTGCTGCTGCTGCTCGGCGCGGGGCCCCGCAGCGGCTGTCTGGCCAGCCCGGTGCCTGCCGCGTCCTTGTCCGTGTCGGGGCCATGCGGCGCACAGCCCTGCCGGAACGGGGGTGTGTGCACCCCGCGCCCCGCTCCCGGCCCGCAGTCCCCGGCCGCCGCCCTGCCCCGCCGGGATCTCTGGCGCCAACTGCCAGGTGAGTGCACGCGGCGGGGGCGGCGGCGGGCGCGGCGGTGGGCGCGGGCCGGGGACCCGCAGCCTCTCCCCGCCGGCCACTGCGTGCTACCCGGTGCGGAGCTCCAGGGTGCCTGACACGAGCTTCTCCCGCTTCGGGAAGGGGACGGATCTGGCCTCTCGGCCCACGTGGACGCGGACCCCTGGCCGACCTTGCAAGTGTCGCTTCTCTGCCCACCCTGGAACTCCGGCCGTGCCGGCCCGGGGTTCTCGGAGCGCGCCGCTCCATGGCCTGGCAGCCACCCTAGCTAGCTAGCTCTGGTACTCCCGGCACGACCATTAGCCGCCAAGTGGCGCGCCCATCTCGGCCCGGGCCGAGCCACACTCCGCTAGAGCCGGGTCTTGGTACCCGTTTTGGCAGCGCAGAGGGACCAGCTCCTAGAGTCCCTGGCGGGGTTCAGGTCCAGGTGGCCCCTGCTCCTTGTCCCGCCGGATCCTGCGTGTGTCGAGGGTGAGCCATATGGGCGGCAGGGAGTGGGGGGCTCCGTGCCCAGGTGTCGGGCATTTTCCTTCCTTTCCAACCCCCTTGAGGGCTCTAACAAAGCCGCCGGAGGCCGAGAGGTCAGCTGCCTCCCCGCGGCCTGCGACCAGCCCTTTCTGAGCTTAGGAGGAAGTGTTGGAGCAGCGGGAAGCATTGGAGGGGACGTTGCGAGTCGGGCTTGGTGTGTCGCCTTCCCTGCCGGACGCTCCTGGAGGCGCATGTTTGGGGTAGGCAGCCAGGGAGTGAGCTGGGCACCGGGAAGCTTCAAGGAAGCGTGGGGCCATGCGAGGGATGGGAGATGGCCAGCAGCTAACCGTGGATCTGGGATTTCCAAGAGAATTTGGCAGATAATAAACAAGGCTGGCTTACAAGTTTGTTAAAAGCTCGGTGAAACCTACTAACACCAACATTTTCAGTAGGCGACTCGGCACACAGTGTGTGCAGGTAGAAAATCCCCAAGTCTCTATTCCAGGGCAGGGCAAGTGATGGATTTATCTGAAATTATTAAATTCAACCAAGTGAATGTGGAACGTATAAGGGATCAGATGCTTTCTTTCTTACATATGGAGTGGAGGAGTTTGTTTCTTATAAATTTGATAAAATGCCCCAAGAGTTACTTTGAAAACGCTCAATTGTACTTTTATTTCTTTGGGTAAGAGGCCAGTATTTTTTAATATAGTTAAATGGGATTGAGAAACTTGACCTTGACAGACAATTTTTGCTATTTCCTAGAATCTGTTTTTCCTCAGTAGTAGCAAATTATCAAGCTGAATCTGTCTTTTCAACGTTGTGCTCTTCTTTGTTAATTGGTTCCAATAAGCTTTAATTCCCTCAAAAGAGATGATGCTGACGATTAGGAGTAGGGTAATGATGAGAGCGCGCTACGACCCCGCGGAGTACATCTGGGGAATGAGGACTCTGGGGAAATGCCTGCTGGGGCCGCACGAACCATTAGGGCAAAATCTTGCTCACTAATGTCCCCTGTTGACTGATGATCTATATGACTTTTACTGGAGAAGTGAGTTGCCTGAATGCTCCTATCAAACCACTCTCATATTTACATGTCTGAAATCTGTCCTTGAAAGAAACAGTCAATTTGGATTCAGAGTGTAGTAGACATGGACAGGTGAAGGTAGATTAGAGTGCACATCAGTTTAAGTAAATGGGAAGAAAGACTGGATATTGGGGATTTAACCCAACTCTGAGACTTTTTTTTTTTTGGTGATTCTAAAAATAGAAGAAATCTTCAGGAAAGGGGAAGACCTCTTTATTGCTTCCTAGAGATGACTCAGAGAAGCATACATTTTTTTTGTCCTAAGTAGTGTTTTGATATATAATGTATTCATTCAGAAATGAGTCATGAACTAATACATAAGTATTGCAGAACCAACTAGTTCAAAACAGATTCAGGCTTCTAGGTCCTTCTGAGGCAGTCTTAGCTCTCTGAATGCTGCCCACCTGAGGAGAAGCAATACTGTGTTGGGAGTTCCGAGTTGAAGAGAGCTGGCGTAACTAATTCTAACAGGAAAGCTGAGCAAATTTGGAACCTGATCTGGTTCTGGCTTGGTTACCCAGAAGAACTTAAACTGAGATGATTCAGAGCCTTGTAAACCCATAAAAAATTGATTCCTGATCATTTTAATTTAATCTTTCATGTTCTTGCATTAACACTTGAGGCTCATTTTCTGTGGGGTGAAAAAGGCAATCTCAATAGAGAAGTTAAACAGAGGGGAAAAAACCCCTTACACATACTCAATTACAGATAAGGGAAATGGATGTTAGCCATTGCCGACAGTGTGCTTGCTGAAACAGAATCGCATGCTCGCCGGGTAAATTGAAAATGGAATTTTACCTGTACGTGAAGAGAATTCTGTAGACAGCAAGTGTCACCCCTCCCCCAACTACAAAGACAATAATGTTAGCGATGAAAACATTGGAACCTAACTCTGAAGTCCTCCCTCCCCTCCCCTCCCCTCCTCAGTCTCCCCCTGGCTTGCCTCACTCTCTTACTTCCGATCTTCTCTTTTACTTCCCACCACCCTCCTCCCGATCGAAGCCGCACCCCCTGCAGTGGAACCTTGGAGTCTTAACCACCAGACTGCCAGGGAAGTCCTACAGAAATGCCCTTTTGGCTTACTCCTCTCTGATCACAAAGCGCCAGCACTCAACCAGTCCTCAGTGGGCTATTCCCCCAAATCTGGGTTTTCTCTCGATTTCCTTAGAAGCCTTTCTGTCATCCACCAAGTGGTTATGTTTCTTGCTTTCCAGTTTCTCTATAGATGGTCCAACGATTACACATCTGCATTCCCTCCCCTTATCTTTCTCTCCTTCCTTCCCATCTCCCTCCCCTCTCATCCCTCCCCCTCCCTCCCTTCCTTCCTTCCTTCCTTCCTCTTCTCCTTCCCACCCCCTCCTCCTCCTTTTTTCAGTATGTGTTGAAAATTAAGAAAACCATGAACCACTAATTGGGATTAAAATGGATTAAGGCTGTCTTCAGCTTTTGTGTGGTCAGCTGGCTGACATTTGGGCAAGCCCCTGGGTCCAGGCAGTGCTTCTGGTATCATCGAGCAACAGGAACTCACAGAATCTGGGAACTGTGTGGTGTGAAGGAGGATGTGTGCATTTGAAGCTGAGCTGCTGCCCTTGAACCTGCTATGACAGGTGATCTAAACTGAGTCTCAGGTTCCCATCTTCGAGGATGGGATCTACCTCACAAGGTTGGTGATAAAGAGTCTGATTCTGTTTTCTGACGTTTGACTGCCGGCAGCTTTTAAGCCACACCTGTCCCTCTTCCCCTTCTGCCCACATGGAGGCAAAAGCTGATTAGAAAGCCTAGGTGTTCTTTCCTTTGGTGCTGGTGAGAGGATCAAACCATGCAAGCCCCTGTTCATGCTTCAGATACATCTTTTCTAAGTCCTCTAACATACTTAGACCTATTAAATCATGAGCATTCAATGGATTCTAAAAATGTATATGCAGGAGGGGAGAGATATGGGGACATACGTATATGTATAGCTGATTCACTTTGTTATAAAGCAGAAACTAACACACCATTGTAAAGCAATTATACTCCAATAAAGACGTTAAAAAAAATAAAAATGTGTATGGAAATCTAACCTACAGAGACATGATGACAGTGATGACTGTGATGATGATGGTGACTGCTAGCTCTTTTCTCAAGCACTTGCCACGTGCCAGCAGTATTTCAGAGGCTTTACAGATATAGCTTCCCAATCCTCATGGTGTCCTATGAGCTGGGTGCTGTAACCATCCCCATTATTTAGATGAAGTGCAGAAAAGTTAAATGAGAGGCCCAAGGTCACCCTGTTAAGTCAGTGTGGGATTTGAACCAGTTAGCTGGCTTGATGTAGAGCTGTAGAATCCGAACGGTGTGGAGATGAAAGTCCAGTCCTGGCCCTGTTATTTTTAGCTGTGTGACCTTAAATTAGCGCTCTAACCTCTGAGTCTTACCAGTAAAAAAGGGATGGAGTGATTTCTGACGCTGGGTTTGCTTGAAAACACCTGGTTTTTCTGTGAAACACAGTTTGATGGCTGTGCCCAGCTGGAGTGAAAAGCCTGATAAAGACACAGCAAATTCCCCTTATGCTACCCACCAAGCAAGACCTTCACTCAGAGTTAGAATTGTAGGTCCTGGATGAAGTTATTTTTACCATGATGACAAGCTTATGGACACTACATAAAAGAAACATAAGTATTTCTGATGGGTTTGAAAACACTTCAAACTTCAAATTAAAAAAAATTGAGGCTGCTGTTCTTGCCTTTCTGTTTCATTTGGGGAAGCAGGCAGGTATCAGAGGTGGCAGCTGCTGGACCAAGTTTTCTTTTCCCGTGAGTGGTACAGGAACTCCTCCCTTCCATTGGGCCTTCCATCAAAGGTAGAGATTATTTAAATTTGTATTATTTTGTTTTAATCCAGCTTTTTAATGAATTAATTCTTTGCCACATATTCAAGCAGTCAGACACCTGTTTGTTTCTTCATGTTATGCTCTCTAGGAATCTTATCCTTTGGGATTAGAATGAAAATGTGTCAATTTCTGCACTTGGAGGAAACAGGGGCTTGTGTAGCTGCTTTTTATGTAGTTTTACCCACTAAGCTGATTCTGTAACCCTCTCTTTGATTTAACATGGAACTTGAAACAATGGTTCTGCTTCAGATGAATCCATTTTGACTGAAGTTTGCTAACAAACAACAACAAAGAATTCTAGCTCTTTGCACAGCTTCAGCCTTCTCTGCTGGGCTTTTTGCACATATGCACACACATGCATACCCACACAAACTCACATTGTGATATGTGCAAAATGTCCTGTATTAGCTGTCAAGAGACGTTGCTTCTTTCTCTGGCTTTTCTACTAACTTTTTGTGACCTTGGGAGAGCAATCGAACATCCCCGGACTTCAGTGTTCGTATCTCCAAAATGGACTAGAATGCTTGTCTTATTTTCCTTTTAGAAAAGATGCAG